TTCCACCATCATAAACTATTGCCCTCTGCCATGTGCCACCCTACCTTGGAGACAGCAGATTATGGACTGAAACCTCCACAAACTGTGACCTAATTTTTCCCTGTTAACCTTGGATGTCAAGTATTTTGTCTCAGCAATGAGAAAAGTAACTAAGACACCTGAATGGTCTCCCTAACCATTAAAGAAAGAGCACTGTCCCAAAAAGCATTCTCGGAAAGAAAATTCCAAGTTTGGATAGCTTTAGATGTGCTAACTAAAAATATTAAGTAATAATGTCAAATCTATACAAATTTCTAGAAAAGAGTTAAAAAATTAACATTCAATCTTAGGAGATCAGCATTACTTAAGACACTAAACCCAAAGGCAATGTTAATAGATTATATGCCAATAATCCTCTTAGAACACAGATGTAAGAGTTCCTTTGAAATTTCAAGGGGCCGGGAGATGGCTCAGTGGAGTAAGTTCTTGCCTGGCAAGTGCAAGGGCCTGAGTTCAACCCCCCGTTCCACAAAAAAAAAAAAAGCTGAATTCAGTAATAAAATACAGTAATATATCAAGACCAAATAAGAATTATGCCAGGAAAGTAAGGTTGTTTTACCATGAGAAAACTGAGCAAAGTAACGCACACATCATGTTAACTAAGTAAAACAGGAAAATTCCACATAATTACTTCAATATACCTATTAAAAAAATAAATAAATCACAAAATTCAGTATCCATAGTTGAGTTCAATCCCTGGTACCGCAATAAATAAGTGAATAAATAAATAAATAAACCAAGTAAAGCCATCATGAGCTCAGATGGCATGATCATCTATGAAGAAAACGCTATGGGATCAATCATTTTCAAAGCTTATATAAAGTTTTGGCAAGAGCCAGAGAGGTAGCTCAGCAGTCTAAGCACCTGCCTGGCAAGCACAAGGACCCGAGTTTAATCCCTGGTACCACACCCGGTTTTAGGGCTGCCATGGCATGAGGTGCCAGGGATGGAACCCAAGTCCTTGTGCTTGTTGCTGAGCTATCTCCCCAACCCCTGATTATTATTCTAAATAAAAATAAAAAGCTATGCAGGGGCCGGGGAGATGGCTCAGTGGAGTAAGTGCTTCACTGGCAAGCGCAAGGGCCTGAGTTCAATCCCCGGTTCTGCCAAAAAAAAAAAAAAAATAAGCAAGGGCAAGCGCAAGGGCCTGAATTAAATAAAAAGGTTCTAAAAAAAAAAAAAAAAAAGCTATGCAAAATTGTTTCCCTTAAAATTCTTAACCATGACTCTCACATAGAATCTTGTGTCTACCCAGCAATCAGACTAAATTTCTCTAGTAAATTTTCTTTCCCTTAACCACAATAATAAATCATACCTTTCACAGGTAGCTTATCTCACTGAAAAATAATCAGAATTTATCCAAAAAAATTTTCCATAAATAGCACCCCTGAAACTCTCTATACCCAATGTATTTCCCATGTTTTTCTGCCTTCTCTTCCATTACAGTACTAGAGCCTGCTTTTCAATTTTGCAGGTCTCCTTCCTTTTCATGTTTCAAGATATCATTCTAACAAATTTCCTCATCTTCTTTATCGTTGCTTCCCCCTCTACTGGATCATTCCTTCTAGCACACTATCATGCTGTTATCACTCTCATTTTAAAAAAAACAACATTCTTCTTCCCCATTTCTCTGGCCAATTATCTGGCCTATTCCTCTTTCTAGCAACACTCCTGAAAGCAGTCATTCACACTCACTGTCTGACTTTCGTCCTCCCATCCTGGATTAAACCCAGTTTTTGTCCCCACTAAGTAGGTTAAAACTGCACATATCACTCATGATCTCCACCTGACTAAATCCAGCAGCCAGCTTTTCTTGTACGACACAGTTCACTTACTGCATCCTTTCTCTAGCTGGCCTCCCAGAGTGCTATATCCTCTTGGCTTTCTTCTTCATCTCCTCTGATGATCACACTTCTCCCAGATCTTTTGACTATAAGCCTTTTCTTTTTCTACCTCTGTTCACTCCTCCCTTTATGATATGATCTAGGCTCACAGTTTTAGTTGATTGATTGATTGATTGATTGATTGATTGATTTTTGTGGTACCAGGGATTGAACTCAGGACCCTGCACTTGCCAGGCAGGCATTTATTCTACTGAGCTATCTCCCTGACCCTAGGCTCAGTTTTAAATACTTCCATGCACTCAAATCTCAAACTTATACCCAAAGTTTGGGTCATTTTCCTGAATGGAAGAGTATGCATCCATGTGGCTAGTATCTCTCTACCTAGCTGGCTAACAGATACCTCAACCCTGCAGTAGGGAGAGCAGCCCACCAAGATAACCACATCTTAAACTCTAAAATCTGTGAATATTTTACATTACTTGGCAAAAAGGTCTTTATAGATACAATGAAGCTCACAAATCTTAAAACAAGAAAAAAAATTTACAGAGAAAAGAAATTATTCAGACAGGCCCACTCTAATCACAAGAGCCCTTAAAAGAGAATTTTCTCCAACTAAAACAAGATGGTATGCAACAGAACCAGAAAGAGAAATTCCAACCTTAAGAAAGATTCAACATGTCACTGCTGGGTCTGAGACAGAAGGGATCACGTGGCAGAAGACTCAAGGAATTGACAGAAGCCCTGGCTCAGGGTGGGCCTCAGCTGACAACCAACATGGAAGTAGGCACTTGAATCCTATAAACCATGAGGAACCAAATTATGTCACCCTGCATGACTTTTTTTTTTTTTTTTTTTTTTTTTTTTTGCGGTACTGGGGATTGAACTCAGGACCTTCTGCTTGCCAGGCAAGCGCTTATTCTACTGAGCTATCTCCCCAGCCCTGCATGACCTTTAAAAGCAGAGTCAGCTAAGAACCAACACCTTGATTTTATCCTTTACCTGGAGTACATGAACCAGTTGAGTTCCCTCAGACTTTCTGGCCCACAGAATAGTAACATACGTTTATGTCATTTTAACCTGCTAAATTTATGGTAGCAATGCAAAACTATTAACATATCAAAAATAGAATTCTCCACCTTCTCTCCAACCTATACAGTCTTCCCCATATTTGTTTTCTTGTGGTTTTTTGTTTGATTGCTTGGTTGGGTTGAGATAGGATCTTGCTAACAGACCACGCTGAAACTAACTTGCAACAATCTCCTGACTCAGTCTCTTGAATGCTAGGATTATAGGTGTACACCCGCCTCATATCTGTGTTAACATCAGTTTCAATCCTTCGACCTAACTGAACAGAAACCTTTGGAATCATATTGGGTCCTCTCTTTCTCTTACACCTCTGACTTACCTGTTTAAAATAAATAAATAAATAATAATATAGGTTCTACCTTTAAATGTACTCAGAATGTGCCCATCTCTTATCACCTGCCCACTACAACTGCTATCAAAACTGGATGATGGAAACAATTCCTGATGTTATTAACCTCTGCTTCTAATCTACTCTCTGTAGTCTATCCAAAATAAAGCAGTCAGAGTTCCTTTCACAATCCAAACCAGATCATGTTATGTCCGTTTGGAACCCTCCAAGGGCTCATTTTTCACTCAAAGTAAACACAAAGCCCTTGTGCTGGCTCATACAATGCTTCCTCACTTGTTTACTGCATTCCAACCACTTGTAGCCTGCCTCCATTTTCACTATAAGCATGTAATAATCTAATAATACTGAACATTTGCTAAATAATACTATGAATCCAGATATCATTCTAATTGTTTTAAATGTATTAACTTATTCCATTTCACTATTTCCATCACTTTACAGGTAATGAAACTGAATCACAGAAAGGTAAATTAACAATTCATGAGATAGTGAGGTTAAGATTGATAGCCCAAATCGTTTGATAATAACAATAAGCTTTTCTTCTGGATGGTTAACAACCTAAGTTTACAGACCAAAATTAGAGAAAAAGGAGGGATACAAGGAAAGCCAACATTTTGGCCCTAGCCTTCTAAGGTCAATTAAGACTCAGGACATATGAGAACTTGTACTGTAACGTCATGTACCTTGGTAGTGTCCCAAATTTTCTGATCAAGAAGATTATGGGGCCAAAGAGGAAAGTGATCGATGACATAGAGTGGGCCTAAGGAGAGTCACATGGGGAGAAGACACTCTCTCAGGCTTTCACAGAGAGCACATTGGCCAAGCATTGGCCGTGACTCATCCACATGGCTGCACTGATAAAGGTTCTACAATCTGAGGTACAGGATCTCAGGACAAATCCTGAGGGCATTTCACTGACCTTCTCAGACCAAAAAGCTACAACTCTTGTTGCACAGGTCCTGCTTTACCCTGGTCTTAACCATCCAGCAGAAAAGTATGAAGACGAAATTATAAGAAATAAAGCCATGCTGTTAAGTTGAGCTGTGGGGGACTCAGGTCAATAATTTCTGACATTGCCAGTTAAACAGAAGACCCAATGGTAATATGGGCTACTGGACTCTTTTAGAATATTTTGCTGAGTTTACACACCTATAATATTCAATAACGGAACTTAGAAAAAATGGGGTATACAGATGAATGTCCATTTTGCATCTGTGTATTCAAAGTGGTTGGGATAGATATATAGTTACATTCTGTTAATGAATAGAATGATTTGTTCTAATAGTGTTTGTAAATAGGATCACAAGTCCGCATCTTGTACAGCAATTAACCACTAAGAAGAATATATGCAGTGTATTATTTTTTGAAAAAAAAAAAAAAAAACAATTCAATCAGTAAATGGTGAAACCAGACTTCAAAATCATAGATCAAATCTACCCTACAGGCCAAATTCTTAATTTCTATAGTACCCCTCACTTGTTAACCTTATTTACTCTTTGGAAACCCACTAGAACAAACAGAAGATGCCATAAAGGATAAGCAGTGGGACTACTAAGTGCTTCATGTATTGTTAGAAAGGCAGGAAAAATTAGAATTAAGATGCTAGAAATAAAAATTTTTTCTCAGAAGTAAAACTCAGCACATAGCTAGTTATTACATAAAATACTATATTTAACACTTACTTTTTCTGTTGTAACGGTCAGTGATGGAACCAAAGCGGGTGATGGTTCTGGTTGTTTCTTATGCTTTTGTTTGTGTTTGTCCTTCTCTTTGTATTTCTAAAAAAAAATGAATAACAGTAAAATCCAACTTAAATTCAAATGCAATAAAGATTCTTTTTGTAACTAGGAGTTCCAAACTTTCACAAATTATTTCTGACAAAAAATAACTTTATAAAAAACAATAATCATAATTTTATAACTTAATCCTAATATCACAGTATTATTTTACTATATAAAAATGTATTTTAAAACAACATATCACCACTAGCAAGAGAGTATGCAATGTGTTAATTATTGAAACTGTCCTACCAATTTGATTTGAAACTATCTCATTGCTATTTGTTTCTCAATAAAATTATGGAAAAAAATAAAAAATAAAACAAGATATCCTCCCTTCAATCTAAAATAATACCAAAACCAACCAAAATCTGAAACTATTACTTTTTTTTTTTTTTTTTGGGGGGGGGTACTGGGAATGAACTCAGGACGTTGTGCTTGCTAGGCAGGCACTTATGCTGATAAGCTATCTCCCCAGCCCACTATTACATTTATATTTGATAAAATATATACTTTTCTTATGACAATACCAAGCACTTTTTAATAAATAGCATTTTAAAGTTAATGTCTCATTCAGGGTGTGATCATATTAGAGAAGTACCATTTGCTCCATCAGAAACCAGAGATCAAGGCACAGGAACTTGGGTAGGAATCTTTCCTAGGTCTACCCAATAAATGAATGAACTGGTCATCTCTCTGTCAACAACAACAATGTCAAAAGTAGAAAAAGTCTAGTGTGTTGTTATGAAGTACTAAAATTAGTAAAGTAAATATAAAAGGTCATTTGATACAGCAATAAAATTATTATATATTAGAAGCTCAAATTTGCTTAATATCAAAGAATTCAAACCAAAATGCTCTCAACTGTTTAAACCAGAACTGTTAAAAAACAGTTCTTTGGAGCCCAGGGTGCCAGCCCATGCCTGTAATTCAAGCTACTCAGGACAGTGAGGCAGGAGGATCACAAGTTCAAAGCCAAGGACAGATGGGGCAACTTAGTGAGATCTCCATCTCCCCAAAATAAAAAGGGTTGGGAATGTAGATCAGTAACAGAGCCCTCCCAGGCTTAATCCTCAGTAGCAAAAAAGGAAAACGGTATTGGGTGTAATATCTGCTAGTATGTCAAGAGCTGAATTTATTTCATAGTGCTCTACTTTAACCATTCAGAGTACCTAATCTGCTCAAGGCATGAAAGACTAATTTCCCTGTCTCTACTCTTTTTAAAAGACACCGCATACCAGCAGAATAAAGAGCATAAAAATTAAGGATATATTTTTCTCTACAATACTACAAATGCTTTCCTTTTGCTTTTAATTCCTGGTCTAAGTACTTAACATTTTTTGATTGACTGTTAATATTGTTGGGAAAGAAAGTAAAGTAACACTTTCTGCTCAAGTTCTGTGGCAATTTTTCTAGTTATTGTAATTGTGGCAAATGACCACTCTCTTCAGCACTGCTCCTCCCATGGTAAGATGTCCTCCTCTCCACTCCCAAAATCTGAGTTGGTACAGATTCTAGACAGCAAGGGTTTTTGTTGTTGTTGTTTTGTTTTGTTTTTCATTTTATGTATTTGGTACAGGGTCTCATTATGTAGCTTAGACTCGTAGTGATCCTCTTGTTTTCAGGCTTCCCAGAGCTGGGATCACAGGCATGTGCCACCATGGCCAGACTCTGTCACAGGCTCAGCATGCCCTGGGGGGTAGGGCCAGTACACTATGGGGGAAGGGATCTAACCCTGGTCCCTGTGCTTGCCAAAGCAGGCACTTAGTCCACTGAGCTCTCTCACCAGCCCTTAGACAGAAAGGTTTTAAGAAGGTCTTCAAGGCTTCTACCTTTGTTCCCATGGATCTGAGCCACCACGTATGGACTCATTCCAGGCTGTCATGACTGGCAGGCCAAATGGGGTATGTGGCCATCTGGGGAAGAAGAAAGGTGCCTGCCATGAGCAGTAGTGCCCAGACCCAGGCATGTGAACAGAGCAACAGTGACCCCCTGGCCAGTCACTAGCCTAGGGCAGCCTCATGATATCCTAAATGATACACATATTAGAAAGATGCAACTTTTTCCCTTCATAAAGAAGCTGAGAGGGGCAGCAGTATACCTCAACAGACTAAGTGCTTGCTTAGGTAAGTGCAGGAGCCAGGGTTCCATCCCTGACTCTGCATGCCATGCCAGCCCCGCCCCCGGGTGCGCTGAGCCAGTGATGGAGTCTGGGCATGGTGGCACGCGCCTGTAATCCCAGCACTTAGGAGGCAGAAATCAGGAGGATCACTACTAAGTATGTATGGGCTGTGTAGTGAGACCTTGCACAAAAAAAAAAACTTAAAAAAAAAAAAAAAGCTGAAGACAATTAAGAGTTTTAAACCTATGTTTGAAAAAGTAAAACTACCAACAAAAGGACAGTGTTCAAACTAAAGCAGGTAAAAAAAAAAATTCTTCAGGAAGCAAGAAAGAGGCCACATGTGGTGGTACACAGCTGTAATCCCAGCTAGTAGGGAAGCAGAGGTAGAAGGATCAAGCCTCAAAGCCAAGGCAACTTATCAAGAACCTTTCTCAAAATAAAATGAAAAAGGACTGAGAAGGTTGCCTTACCTGGGTTCAATCCAGTAAACAATCACCCCTCTCCTGACACTCCAAATAATGCAGCTGAAGATACCATTAAATGCCAACATTCTGGCGAAAGGAATTGTGATAGCGCAGGTTTTGAAGAATACACAGGTAGTAAGTGAACCACTGACAAATCTTTGTGCCAAATTAGTAAGTGAATTCCAGAAGGGATACCATATCAACAGATTGAGGTTCCTTCTCAAAAAAACTCCACTGAACTTGCAAAGGTTTGCTAACATGTAGAAAAGAATTTCACTGTCATTAGTTAGGAATGACAGGCCATCAGAAAACCCAATATTAGAAGTTAATACTTCGTCACAAGGTAAGAATGAAAAGGAAAGCATTGGGCCATGAGATAGCTCAGTGGACTACGTGCCTGCTTAGGCGAATGCAGGGACTGGGGTTTGATCTTTGTACCGTGCTACTGGGGCGCACTGAGCTAGACATGGTGCACAGCTGTAATCCACATTGAGCAGGCTAAAAACAGGAGGATCATTATGAGTCTGAGCTATAGAGAGGGGAGGGGACAGGAATGAAAGGGGAGATGTAAAGTACACTGATCTCCAGTGATGGTATGGCATTTAAAAGGCAACTGAGGGGCTGAGGAGATAGCCCAGTTGAATAAGCACTTGCCTAGCAGGCGCTCAAGGGCCTGAGTTCAATCCCCAACTCTGGAAAAAAAAAAAAATCACTAAAAGGCAATTTGAAATCACAAGTTTTTCCAATGTTAACAATTTTTTTTTTATTCATTTATGAATTTGGCACAGGGTTTCACTATGCAGCCTGGACTCATAGTGATCCTCCTGTTTTCAGTCTCCCCAGTGCTGGGATTACAGGGGTGCGCCACCACATCGGGACTCTCACTGGCTCAAGGCATGCAGCGGGAGGGGGAGACCAGGGATCAAACTCTGGTCCCTGCATTTGCCAAAGCAGGCACTTAGTCCGCTGAGCTATCTTGCCAGCCCTATAAGGGATCTTCTTAAATAATATACTTGCAAAACTTAGATCTTTGGGGCTGGTGAGATGGCTCAGTGGTCTAAAGCACCTACTTAGAACAAGCTTAGCAAAGCACAGGGACCACGGTTCA